ACAAAGTCAGATATACAGAGAGGAGGAGAGACCCACAGGAAGATCTTCCATCTGATGATTCCCTTCTTCAAATGGTAGCAGGAGGCAGGAGCTTCTTCTGGGTTTCCCACGTAGGTGCAGGCTCCCAAGGCTTTGGACTGTCCTCAACTGCTTTCTCAGGCCACAAGAAGGGAGCTGGATGGGAAGTGGGGCTGTGGAGATTAGAATCGGCCCTCATATGGGATCCCAGCTCGTTCAAGCTGATGACCTTAAGCTGCTAGGCTACAGCACTGGGCCCTCTACTGGTACATTATTTAAAGCAGTATGATTTTAGTTTGTGGTGACACTAATTCCCAATAATCAGAACTAATATTATTAGCAGAAATAGAAACTGATTTGTTGATGACAGAAAGCTCATTAAATAGAGGTGGATAACTCAGTGAATAACTCATGACAGGGAGGCAAGTCAAAGCTAAGTAATACTATGTTGGATATTGTGATAAACACAAGTCCACCCAGTAATCAAAGTGAGATTTCATACAGCGATAGAGTTTGAATAAGTCTCAATGCAGAAATATCAATCATTGCCTCCTAATACGCTGTTTCTGTGGGTCACCATGTATATAATGTATTCTTTATTTTGTGTATTCATGCTTCTTGCAGCAAAGCTAATATATACAAGGCTAACATATACAAACTACCTCTGTAAATAACTACAAGATTATGAGTATTAATTAAAGTTTAATAATACATAAAATAAATGCATTTTAATGAACGCTATGTTTACACAGCATTTACACTTCAATGGGGAAGTCAGATGTGTTAAAGACATCCTCCACCCGAGTGTTCATTATGTCTATTAGCTCCAGCGTGCTAGAGAATTAGAAACACCTGCCTGAGTGATGCAAGTGTTAGTGTTGACAGGTTAGCAATATTCAAAGCTTGTATTTTCTCTTTCACTAATTATTTGAGATTCTCAAAATGCTACTGTTGTGCTCTGTGTGGACTGCTTGCACCGAATATTTTAAAAAAAATCTGGAAAAGAGTGATCCATTCACTTCATGTATGTTTAATTGACTAATGTATGCCCACGCAACACCAAACCCTATTTAGATATTATATTTAAAAAGAAAGTAGACGGACTATCTTTTTATTAGGTTTTATTGTTTATGGTATAGAAGGATGCATACTAGGTAACACATAAATATTAAGCCATATAAGATGTTAGAAGCCTATAAGATATAAACTAATGAGCAAAAGGAAGTAGGCATTTTCTGACTCCTGTGAAAATTGCCAACTTCACACAGGATAATGGGGACTTCTCATTGGTTGGCAAGTATTTGAAGCAGATAAGCAGAGCCTACATGGGCATAGTCAGGAGTGTGCAAACGAAGTGTGAGAAACAGCGTGTGCAAGCGCTCAGGCCAGGGAACATGTAATGTCTCTATGTGAATCTGAATTCTACTTAAAGAGAAGAAATCCAAGCCTACTTGGTCTCTTAAATAAAACAGAGACTTTGCGATATTAATTAACAGGAGGCTGGTGTAGCTATGTGAGCTACAGGTTAAGTGGTGGGGCAGCTGGTTGATCAGAAACAGCACCAACGCAGACAAGAGAGAATGCCAGCTCAGGGCAGTCCTTTACGGTCAGCCTCCAACCACCCTGGGATCGGAGTCTGAACGTAATTGGAGCTGACTCTTGGAGCAATTGATTTCCTAGGACATTAAAAAAAAAAAAAAAACCTGTAAATGCATTTGGTAGTTAATTAGTGGTGCTTAACCGGTGTGTGTCATGTCAGCTGAGATTGGGGACTTAATGGATCAGGAAAATTGTTAAAGAAAACCAGGATCATCCCTCAGTTATGCATATGCTCAGTTTGAGGCGTTCTCAAGATTCACATAGAGAAAATATGGGTGGCGGTTCTAGTCCTGGCTGCTCTACTTTCAATTCAGCTTTCTGCTAACGTGCCTGGGAAAGCCTCAGAGAGGGCAGGCCGCTGCCACTGTGTGGGAGACCTGGAATTCTCCCAACTTGGGCCTGGGTCTCCTCAGCTCTTCTGTTCACCTGGGGAGTAAGCTAGTGGCCAAGAGACCTTTCTCTCTATTTCTGCCTGTCTCACTGTAACTCTTTCAAACAAATAAAATGAAACAAAATTTGTTCCCATTGAGGATTATGTGTGTTTCACTACAAATCTAGGCAAGCAATTACAGGTGAATAAGGAAGCAAGGATCAGAGGAAGATGGTGCAGAGCGCTTCTTTTATTGTGTCTAAACTGTCTCATGCTCAACAAAGATTATAATAGATGCAACGAGAAAGCAAGCACCAAGACTGCCTCTAAGATGGCCCAGATTAAGAATGGGTTGAGACTTCACAGAATCTGTGCTTAAAGAATAAAGCAAGACATCATGGGGCCCAGCGCGGTAGCCTAGGTGCTAAAGTCCTCCCCTTGCATGTGCCAGGATCCCATAGGGACACCGGTTCTACTCCCAGCAGCTGCTCTGCTTCCCATCCAGCTCCCTGCTTGTGACCTGGGAAAGCAGTTGAGGACAACACAGAGCCCTGGGACTGCACCTGTGTGGGAGACCTGGAAGAAGCCCCTGGCTCATGGTTTTGCATTGGCTCAGCTCCAACCATTGTGGCTGCCTGGGGAAAAAGAGATAGAGAAAGACAGGGGGAGAGAGAAAGAAAATATTGCATTGTAATATCTAGGTCTGGGCCAAGCCAAGCCAGGACGCTGGAACTCAGTTCAGGTCTCTTTTGGGGGTTCAGGTACTTGAATGCTTGCGCCATCACACACAGCCTCTCAGAGCATGCTGAAATTTGATCAGGCGCTAAACAGAGATTTGAATCCAGACATATAAACCACTGAGAAAAATGTGCACCTTTCCTTTGTGGATATTCTATATACTCCATTCTGATATTCGTTTTTGATTTCACAAGGAATTCTAGACATCATAGAAAAAAATAGATGCCCTGCTTTGAATGTTCAATAATGAACACATATGTTTATATTATTCCTCCAAAGGCAAAATTAAAATACCCCTCCTTAATTGATTTCACATTACTTACCTCTTTAAATTTATTGTATTCTGTTCCATCCCAGTTAAAACAGAACATCAGAATTGTATTTGAAACATTGTTAGGAACTAATCATAAAGCATGCAGGATGTACATTAAATCACTCACTGAATTCTCAAGAGTTAAAATTTAAGTGATTTATTATATTTTTAACAAGCAGTGTCTACAGACAGAGCATCTGCATGGTGTAAGTTCCCAAAGAAAGATGTGTGTGACGGACCGGCATTAAATCATTAACTCACAGACACCTGATGGGGTTCATGTTCGCAAGGAAGAGAATTACCAAAAAGTAAGCAGATTTACTGTGTAGAAACAAGATCTGATTGTTGCTTTTTATTAAATCTACAACTCATAATGTTTCCTTAAGCTAAGAACAAATCTATTGTTTAACAGAGTTCAGGATGCTATATACACACACAAGATATTAGACACTATAAAATTTCAGGTTTCTAAGATGTTTTACAGCATTTTAAACTTGAGCAAAAGTTTTATTTAAAAAAGACCTTATTGGATTACTTTCTGTAAATGGAGGTCATTTCAACAGCCCGCTCGCATTTTTAGCAATAATACAAACAAAACATATAAGTAACTAGGTTGTCAAGACATGTCAGCTTCATTTTAAGCTTGGATAATTATCTGCTCATTCCAGTAAATGAACATGTCTAGCTTTCATCTCCTACTGACCCCTTCTTTTCCCCTTTAAAACAAGAAAAAAAGCAACGAGTTCAACTTCTCTGCTGTGTCTCAAATAAGAGGATTAATGAGGTTGCCAACTGCACTTGTAATCAAAGAGAGATCATTTTAGGATGATACAGGAGTTGATTGAATAAATCATTTAGGAAAATTATTAGACAAGATGTGTTTTGATGTGCTCTACTTCAGTAGTAAGCGCAAATGCACAAGTTCACCTTAACTCAGTAGGTGACATGTTAAATTGCAGTTTCTATTCCCATTTCTCCCAAACCGGCATATCTCATCAGCTTTCCTTCCCGATCTTAACTTCCCTATAGACGATTTGTTTTAAGCAGATACAGTAATTCATTTTTGGGGGGGTGGGAAGGAATTAGAAATTCTTGATGATGCAATCCTGGTGATATTATTAAAAATCCACTCTGATAATAAAATAAGAACTTGTAAAAGAGTTGACATCTGAAATTTGCATGAAAATATAACACACTCCGGTGACTGACAAAGTGGGTAACACATTGCAAACATTTTCATCCTAATTATTTTTCCTCTCTTCACATTTTCTATAACATGCTGCAAATTGCACAGTAAACATCAACTAGCCAGCTCGTACACCACGCAGGGTCAACATAAGCCTCCAAATGATATTTCACGGAGGGTCAAATCAATGCCTAAAAGCAGGTTTTGGTACAAAGGATGTTCAATGCGTATATATTTATTTAATGACAAGAGGCTTCTACAATTAGGTGGGTGTTCACTGTGCAGCTATTACCTTCCCTTTCGTCCTGTACATCCCCTTCAAGGCACAAAAGATTATAAACAGTGGACAAGCACAAAGATTTTTGAATTAAGATCTTTAAGGTTTTGCAATGCCTTTTATTTCTAGGTTAAGAACACCAAAAGGATGAGAAAAATAAAGCACCCTCAAAATGACATCGTATTTCGTCATCTGACAGTCCCTGCAGTTTGGTTGCTTTTTAAGTAACTTAAAATGCTATTTTACTGGCTTTCAACACAATTGCACATTTGAATCTGATGATGGATGTGATCTTCATTAAACATTGTGTTAAATATTTTTAGTCAAACAATATTAGCAAGAATTTATGTGTCTGTTAAAAATATACATTTTTAAATCAAGCCAATCAAGTAAATTATATTTGATTAGGACATCAACTCTGAAAGATAAGTTGTAAGTTTAAACAATGAGTTAATGCAGTGTACTACAAAACTCTTCAATCAGTGATTCTCGAGGGCCCCTAGGCCTCTCCAACCCAGACGACTGTATTGCCTCTCTCCACTTCGGTGATCTCACAGTTCAACTTATTCAGCCGTCCATCCAGGATAAAGAGAGAATCCTTGGAAGGCGTCATCAGGTATTGCCCGAACAAGCCACTGTCCTGGATGCGCCGGTTCTTGCGGCTCCAAGGCCAGTCCTGCGCTTGGAGAGGCTCCTTCAGGCTCTTGATCATCTTGAGCTTCCCAGAGGAGAGCTCCACGAACAGCACATCCGTCTGTGTGCTCGAGCTGCCGTAGATGTTGTACTGGTGGGCCTCCGTGAAGGACGGCTGGAAGGCCAGGTCAGATATGTGCAGGTTTGTGTGGATGACGAACGCCTCCTGTATCTCTCCTCGGATGCTGATGTACTGCACTCGCACAAGACCTCCCACGTCACTAACGCTGACGAGATAGTGGCCGTCCGGGGAGGTGTAGGGGGTGCCTGTGACATCCCGATTGAACCCAAGGACTGAGTCGGTCACACTGTCCAGCACCAGCTGTGGGGGCACTGCCCCAGTGCTGTCACGCTTGCATTCGATGAAGTAGTATCCTCCCAGGTGAGTGTAGGCCAGCGATCGAGGTATACATTTGTAGTCCTTCAAGCTGATTGTCTTGACGTAGGACATGGTTTCAAGATCAATTTTTTGTAATGCAGCCTCATCTTTATGAAGAATAAATCCAAATCTGAAAAAGACGAAAACATAATCAGACAGGAAACTACAGATGGACTACTAATTCACAGCAGACTAAGGGTAACCCCCTCCGTGTCCGGGGCATCGGGAGTCAGGACGTGACAACTCATGGTACAGTTGTTTCAGGATTAATCCATAGAGCGTGCCTCCCTTCTTCTTGTTCTAGATCATTCTCTTTTAACTTCCAATGATAAATCACCCTGTAGCAAGCAAAATAATTCAAAGCAGCCTACAACCAGAGTAGCAAGCTGTTCTTTCAACATAGAGTAAAATGTAAGCATTTTGTATCTCACCTTGGGATATTGAATCAATTTAATTAACTGCTGCTAATCCTAGAAAGATGAAAGTTCTTCCTACATGAAATCAATGTCTTTCACTTAATTTGCTTCTTGTCTTTCGGCCTTCAAATGAATGTGACACTCATAACTGTTATGAGTTTATAAGACTATTTTGCATTTTAGTTTATAAGACTATGCATAGATATGCATATATACATATAGCTGCATATCGCTATAATTTTGACATAGAACTCTTACATTTTAAGTATTATGTCTTACGGTAACCTTAATTATCTTTATAATGTTAATAACTATTATATTGTAAATTTAAAAAAATAATATTGATTTATTTGCTTTCACTGGAAAGTCAGATATATAGAGAAGAGGAGAGACAGAGAGGAAGATCTTCCACCTGATGGTTCACTCCCCAAATGACTGCAATGACTGGAGCTGAGCTGATCTGAAGCCAGGAGCCAGAAGCTTCTTCCAGGTCTCCCACACAGGATTTAGTGTCCCAAGGCTTTGGGTTATCCTGAACTGCTTTCCCAGGCCATGAGCAGGGAGCTGGATGGAAAGTAGGGTTGCTGGGACATGAACTGGTGCCCATATGGGGTCCCAGTGCGTGCAAAGTGAGAACTTCAGTCACTAGGCTACTGTCTGGCCCTGTATTGTAAATTTTAAAAATAAGTTTCCATTTTTAAACTTTGCTATGTCAATATTGTTTAATTTTTAACTTAAGACTGTGTTATCTTATATTGAACGATGAAAAATTTTGGAGATTTATACCAAGTTTCTATCAAAGTTTTATTTATGTTGTTTTGTGGGTCTTTCTAATCATTTGAGAATTTTTCAGAGTATTTATTCTAACTATTGTTTGAAAATGATCAGAATGCCCTGTAGCAAGTATAGACAGATACTGAAACCCTGACATTTAACACAGCATTGTTCTAACAAAAATCAAAAAATGAAATAAGCGGCAATAAGACAGAAATGAGAAAACAAAATTATACTCAGAAAGGATGCTGGTCAGCAGAACTGAGCAAGTTTTTTCCGTTTGTTAATAAGATTGATGAAATCACCTGACAGTAATTCTAAACATTTAAAATAATAGAGCTCAGAGAAGTATTCCTCCGTGGAGCATGATCCTACATAAAGAAGCATGATCCTGCTGAGAATAACTAAAGGAAACATGTAACATTCAGTCATGTTACTGTCATATGTGTACTTCATTTTCTTTATATTCATCAATGAGTTATTTTTGTAAAAATTATTCCCTCGAGTAACATAAAATACAACAAATTTGAGGTAACAACTCCTTACAGTTCTGAAGTATTTTATAAAGAGATTTATTTACTACATGAAGGGCAGTTACAGAGAGAGAGGGGAGCTTGCTTTCTGGGTTCGTTTACCAAACGACCTCCATGGCTGGGGCTGGGCCAAGCGGGTGTCTGGAGCCAAGAAATTCTTCCCAGTCTCCCATATGGATGTAGGGGACCAAGGACACGGTCAAGCCCTGCAGCTTCCGTAGGCGCGTTAGCAGGGAACTGTATCAGAGGCAGAGCCAGCTGGGACTGCAAGCATTTCGGGTACACACAGTGCCTGCCTGGATCATTTGGCAAACTCAAAATCTAAGTAAACTCATATTGATCATCACAGGAAAAGGAAAACATTTTGCAAAAATTCAGGTTTTTTTGGTCATACTTCTGGAAACAGAAGAAACCCACACACTTTATTGAAACTGCCGTAAAATTGTACAGTTTGCCTTTTTATTACATTGCATGTAACTGGGAAGGCACGATACCTTCAGTTCTGTTCCAATATTCATGGTTAGACTGTTGTCAACAGCAGAAGTGCATATTCTTCTATACGACAGAAAAACAGTAACTTATAAATAATTACTTTAAGAGGCTTTTTAAAATAGTTATTGGACAACCACTAAGCACAGGGCCCCGGGCATATATTTGTGGTTAACACAATTCTCCCTTCTTTTAATCAGTGTAGAAATTTTGAGTCATAAAAATTTGGAAACTATTGATGTGACTACTACTTGATGGTATCATTTGGTTTTGCTATTTCCTAATTTGCTAATATTTTCCCAGATATTTGAAATATCATAAATGAATTCACATTCCCAGTGTATCTCTGAAAGGCATTCACCATTTCTCGTACATTCTCATCTCTGTCTTTTTTCTGTCTTTCTATGATTGGTTTCTTCTAGTAAACATAGCTGGCACCATACCTATGTTGGACTAGCATTTTACTTTTCATCACAGTAGTGTGAAGAAACATTCATTGTGCAATTTGCACTTCTAAATATTCTCATTAATGGTTGTGAAGAAATATATCATAGGTTTTAAGTCATTTCTGAATATTAAAAAAAAGAAAAAGATCCTCACCTGTCAAATGAATCTTACATTTTGGTCCCAGAATCAAAAAAATCATAAATTCATAAGTGTCACTGTCCACTCTCATACTGTCCTAATATAGAGTCTCACATACTATAAAAAAGAGCAATGTTTAGCACATGTTGGATAATCAGGAAGGGTAGTTAGGTATGCAGAAATACTGGTATTCTGTAGGAAGTCATGGATTTTGATGGAAGATATACTTTCCTTTATTATACATCGTACATTGTCTCAGATAAAAAGCATTAATCGGCTCATTTAATAAAAGCGATAATCCAATAAAGTTTTGTCATTTCAGCTCTCCTCTTAACCTTGAGTCTCCAAGTCTCTTTGGGGAATGGTTTCTGAATGCTGATGAGGAAGAATGAAACAAGTGCTTGGAAGTCTGGAATCACTCTAGCTCTGATGCTGAGGAATGGACTGAAGTTTCCTGTGATAAGTCCAGCCTCTTTAGGTGGTAATTAAAATTATATATATATATATATATATATACACACACTCACATATGTATAAATGGTTCAGTGAAAAATGTAGAAGCTCTGGGTATGGTGATAAAATTACATCTATTGTAGCACTCATCCCGTACTTCCTTTTAGGGCCCGAGATATAGCGATGTAAGCAGATGTATGCGAATGCCTTCAAGTTTTCACCAGTGATTTATTGATTAGGAAGTGGTAGTTCTAATTCAAAATTTCCCCCAGTACAGATTAATATTCACAAGTCTCCCACTGTTCATTAGTTACTGATTAATATTTACGATGCTCTCAACTTTTATGCCTGCTTAGTATAATAAAATCTTGCACAGTACTAGGCCTAACACGGTTTGTCTAATATTTTATTAGCATGTGTATAGAGGTTTCAGATGGAGAAAAGAGAGTTAAAATTCACTGCCCATCAATTATTTTACTTGGAAATGAATGCCACTGGTCAGCTTGGTATCATGTGGAATTTCCAGATTTGGTGGGAAGAATTAAGTAAAGATTTGTTTTTCTAAATTATATCATTTTTTTCTGAATGATAAAGTTTTTAAAAGGTCAAATTTATGGTTCAAAGCAAGGTCCTAAAATGATTTATATATACAGATATCTGGTGTTTTCAATGCTGTAAGTAGTTCTCTGGTAGTCTTTGTTCCATGATCTGGTATTTCAGTTCGGTAGACGTCGCATGAATGTGACCTATATGCAGTCTTGGGCTTCAATGAATCTCAACTTTCTCATTAGCTGGGACAGGAAAAACATATGACTTTAAGAGTGAGAGTAAATGCATTCATAAACGTTATCAGCACTTACTGTGAATGAGTAGAGAACTTTAGTTCTTTACACCATAAGCAGCACAATTTTCCTATCATTTATCAAATGAAATACTTCTCATGAGATGACAGAAGAAATGAAAACAAGTTCATTATGCATAAACTTCCTTTGCAGCTAGCATCCCCACAATGTACAGAAGTGGCCATCTGATACATGAGTGAAGATACCACCTGGGGTCCCTGGATTCCATAGCAGACTGCTGGAGGTGAAATCCTGGCACCACTTAAGTCTAGCTTCCTATTCATGTGTATCTTGGAAGGCATCAAGTGGTCGGTAGAGTAATTGGGTCCCCAACAGCCACCTGGGAGACGTGGACCAACTTCCAAGCTATGGACTTCAGACTGCCGCAGGGACTCGGGCAGCGTAAACTACAGATGAGCATCTCTCACTGCGTTAGGGATCAAGACTTCAGCTCCGTGCATGCTTCCGTTCTGGCTGAGTCCGTGCATGCTTCCGTTCTGGCTGAGGGCAGGGAGCACTGAGTCACAGGGTACTGGGAAGTCGACTTATTCTCAGCACGGATCATACAAAGACAGGGACATTTAGAAGATCCACTAGAACTAATGCATTAATTCCAGCTAAAATTCATGGTAGATTCTGTGGCTGACTCTGAGACCTGGATAGCTGATGATAAGTGTAGTTTTGGAGATTTTGTAAAGGCAGCTCAGTACCCTTGCAGACACCATACACATTTTGAGAACATGCCATTATGAAAGGAGCAGAAGATGCATTCTTGCTAGTAACACGTGGAATATTTTCTAATACTGCTATTTGTTCAGACACAAATAAAATCACAACACATTCAAAATTACACAAAGCATTTTCTCCAACAACTGTGAATTGAAACTGCAAGTCAACACAGAAGGAAATGTAGAAAATCCATAAACATGGCAATGAAACAGCATATTCTGAGTAATTCTTGGGACAAAGAAGAAAGGAAAAATAAACTTGAGAAATATTTTGAGAAAATGAAAACAAAAGTACATTGTGGTGCAAAAA